GCGAAAAAATCGAAAAATCAAATAATAAATCTGTAACTAAGGCGTCAGTAACTAAGTAAGTACCTAATTATCTAGATATACTTTAAATAATGATATAATTTTGATTACACACATCCCATAATATATTTTGTGAACGATCTAAATTAATTAATGTGTCGATTGTCCACGTGACAGACATGTTGCCGACAAATGTTTCCAACAAGCGTCTCCACAGAGGGAACAAATGTTTGGAACAAACGTATTCCTTTGATGTTGCCGCCGAAAATGGAAACACCGTTGCCAACATTAGGTAATTACAGAAACATTTGTCACTAACACGTGTTGACAACACAAAAGTTGGTAACAAAACTTTGGTGGAGACGCGGCTTTATGCACTCCATACATATGTATAATTACAGCCTCATTAATGCCCACTAAAATAAAATAATCTATACAATTAAATAAAATTGAAGTATATATCCCGGACGTCAGTCTGAGCGAGATTAGAATGGCTCTCCAGCACCTTAAAAACGGCAAGGCCCTGGGCGAGGATGGAATTACAGCGGAGCTTTTGAAAGCGGGTTGAAAACCGGTACTTGAAGTCCTTCAGAAGCTCTTTAATTCCGTCCCCCACGGTGGCACTACGAGAACTACTATGTATTCCATAGGCGTGTAGCAAAAGTGCGGTGGTTTTGTTCTTCAAGAAAGGCCACAACGCTCTCTTGAAGTACTACAGACCGATTTCCTTTCTGAGCCGCGTCTACGTGCTATTTTCGAGAGTCATTACGAATCATCTCGCACGCAGACTTGACGACTTCCAGCCTCCCGAACAAGCCGGTATCCGAAAAGGCTTTAGTACCATAGACCACATACATACATACATCCCCTGCGGCAGATTGTACAGAAGACAGAGGAGTATAATCTGCCACTTTGCCTTGTGTATGTGGACTTTGAGAAAGCCTTTGATTCCGTCGAAATTTGGGCGGTGCTGCAGTCCCTTCAGCGGTGCCATGTTGACTGTCGGTATATCGAAGTGCTGAAGTGTTTGTACAGTAGAGCTACGATGGCTATCCGAGTACAGAATCAGAGTACGAAACCTATCCAACTACAGAGAGGTGTAAGACAGGGTAACGTTATATCCCCGAAACTCTTCACCGCTGCATTGGAAGACGTTTTCAAGCTACTGGACTGGAAAGGATGCGGTATTAACATCAATAGCGAGTACATCACTCACTTTCGATTTGCCGACGATATAGTCTTTATGGCAGAATCGCTGGAGGACTTAAGCACTATGCTCAATGACCTGAATAGTGTCTCCCAACGGATAGGTCTTAAGATGAACATGGACAAAATAAAAGTAATGTTTAACGTCCATGTCACACCTATGCCGGTAGTTGTTGGGAGCACTAAGCTCGAAGTTGTTGATGAGTATGTTTACCTGGGACAAATAGTCCGACTAGGTAAGTCCAACTTCGACCGAGAGGTCAATCGACGGATTCAACTCGGCTGGGCAGCGTTCGGGAAACTACGACACATCTTCCCGTTAGACATACCTCAAAACCTGAACGAAATTGTACAACCAGTGAGTGTTGCCAGTGATGACTTACTGATCTGAGACGTGGTCCTTCACTGCTGGCCGTATGAGGATGCTCAAGGTTGCTCAGCGGGCTATGGAGAGGGCTGTGCTCGGGGTTTTTCTGCGTGATAAACTTAGAAATGAGGATATCCGCAGTAGAAGCAGAGTAACCGACATAGCCCAACGGATTAGTAAGCTGAAGTGGCAGTGGGCCGGCCATATAGCTCGTAGAACCGACAACCGATGGGGAAGAAAGGTTCTCGAGTGGCAGCCTCGTACCGGTAGGCGAAGTGTAGGGCGACCCCCCCATTAGATGGAGTGACGACCTGGTAAAACATGCCGGAAGTCGATGGATGCAGGTGGCTAAGGACCGTGTTTTGTGGCATTCCCTGGGGGAGGCCTATGTTCAGCAGTGGACTTGTGAAGGGCTGTAATGACGATGATGATGATTGTTGTTGTTGTTCCTCTAGTTTCATAACCATCGGTTCAGCTTTTTTTCGATCTCGCACCAACTTGTGGGCCACCATTCCAATACATACAACGTAAGCATAAACACCCGCTCTACACGATGGCCATCGTTGTTGGCCAACACATTCGCCAGTATGTTGGCCAACGTGAAGAGCCGCCTTTAGGTACAAAAGTAAGACATTCGGTTTAAGTTCAGGGTGGCTGGAATTTGAGCCATAACCCATAACGCCTTTATTTTGCTTATCGTCGTTTTTAAAATTGTTCTTGAAATAATATGATTGTATATAAATGTTCATTACATTTGTCCATAAATAACCTATAGATTAAAACAAATGTTTAAAAATATTGTGATCTAATTAAAACAGCAGGAATATTAAAAGTTGAAATTGGCACTAAACGGCTGGTAATAGGTGCGTCCACCCTACGTATTTATTTCGATACTAGCTGTTCCCCGCGACTTCGCCCGCGCGTAATTGATTACGATTGGATTACATGGGTTTTTATTTTTTGCGCGGAACCCTAATTCTTTTTCTAAAATAAAAGTAACCTAAGTTACTTCTTATAACATCAGCTATCTGCCAGTGAAAGTTCGGTCAAAATCGGTCCAGCCGTTTTGGAGATCAGCCGGAACAAACAGACAGAGAGACAGAGAGACAGAAAGACAGACAGACAAAATTTTAAAAAATTGTATTTTTGTTATAAGTACCGTATATACTTTCATATGCATATAGTAAAAAGCTGTTATTTTGGCATTACAAACAGACACTTCAATTTTATTTATTCGTATAGATTCCAGATAGACCCTTCAATTTTATTTATATATAGGGTATATTTAATTCTATGGGTATATTATAATTAATGCAGTAAAGTAACATTGATTTAAAAAGTAGGTAATTTATGCAAATGAGTAGATGGTATATTCAGATCATCACCTATTAAGATCTATTAACTTATGTAATGGATGTTATAAGTAAATAGGGAAAGGTGTCTATTATTTTTAAAAGTCGATGTTTTAGATTTTCTATTATGCTTTATGTAACGTCGATTATTATAATATACCTAGGTAACATTGTGATAAGGTATATTTTGAGGGCTAAAGTTGACGTGCTAATGTACAGCGCGGTCGACTTAGGCACATAAGCACAGAAAAATTGTAGTTAACTTTGAGGTGGAAAATTTGGCTTGGCGAAATAGGTGTAAGTTGGGCTTATTATTTATTCTGTGGCTGGGCTGAGCGGGTGGCGCAGGGCCCCACGGACTGGCTAGCGCCAGCCGCGGCCGCGATGAATCATCGGTGACGTCGCGAACGGCGACCGCTGACGCTGGCGCGCGCCTAGCGCTCTCGCTGCGCTCACTCACTCGCCCGGCCGCACTCTCTGCGCTCGAACGGAACGTACGTGTCGCTGTTGCAGCGACATTATTATCGCAATCGCCAGTCGCCTCGCGTGTTCCGTTCTGATATCATCCGCCGCGCGGCACAAGTGTGGATACCTCTTACTGATATGCGGATGCTGTCTTAAGGCGTTTTAATAAAGAAGTTCCATAATTATTTCTTCGGGTTCGTATCTATTTGCAGTCATGAGTGCTTAAAGCGGTGGCGTCGGCGACAGCAATCCAAGGCGGGTCTCCGAAAGCCCTCCAGCGTCCTGCGACCAAAGGACATGAGGGCTTCGCGGGCTTTTGAAGGGCGTTTTCTCACCTTGGGTCGGCGTCTCGGTCGCTCGTGCTGTAAGTTGAAGCGGCGGGACACGAGGCGGGCGACGCCTGTACCGGACGAAGTAGGCGGTGTCAAGCGACCGCCCTCCGCGGGCCCCGGACGAGCGACGAGCGCCGTAGAGAAGGCATGGGCGCGGGGCGCCGCTACACGGCTCCATTAACGAATATACTTCACGAAGTGTTGTCGCTCTAGTGATTTGCCTTATTCTTCTGTTTTATTATCGATGATGTTTATAGGTCATTGATGATAGCATGTGGGGTAACGTTGTGCTTATTTTTAAACACTATTGAATGTTGTAGTCGCAGTGGCATCTTCCCAATTTTTAACCTTGCATGACGCCATCCTATGGTCACTGCACTACACACACTGATGTTAATTATAATCCAAATCAAAAGATAATCGATATCTTTATTATTAAAATAGAGAGTAAATGTAGACGTTAATTGGTAACACTTAATTCCTCACTTAAGTAAAAAGAGTCTGTCTATTGAAATGTAAAATTTATATGTAAACACAATTTTAGTGAAGTTGCTGACATCAGTGTACGAGAAACTGCTATCTAATAGAAATCGCGTCACAGGAATTCTACGCAACGGGCTTTCAAGCCATTCGATAAAACTTTAAAATCGATAATAGAGCGTCACTAAGGTGCGGACCGGAGCGGTCTCCCCGCGGGCCCCAGCGCAGCCACGCCCAGCGCGCGCATTCTCAACAAAATCTACACGAAATGGATGCACAGAGGAACGAGTCTGGCTGGCGGCATCGCGCGCTTTGCTCAGTCACGCACCTCGCATCAGTCAGTCGAGTAGCGATCTAGAGTCTGTGTCTGTGAACCGTACGCACGGCGCACACGTGCCCTCGCGCTCGCGTCCATCCCTACTCCACGCCGCACAGACACCACTGCTCGCCGATCTCACCGTTGCCGTCGCGGCTGGTGCCTTGTTTGCTTCCATTCCAACCCTGTTATGTAACACGAAAATAAACACGTCTGTAGCGAGCACGTGTGCGCAGCGACCACCGTAGTACGTAACACTCATTCAAACCGCCGTATCCTTCATCACAGATTTCGTCGCCGTCACCATCGCCACCGCCACCGCTGGCTACCAAAGCACCGCTGGCTTACCTTAACAAATCAACTGTCGTTTTCAGTGAGTGCAACTATCCGTGGTCATCGGACAATAATATAAAAACTTAAAAATTGTTAAGAGTGACAGTGCCGTTTGTTCATTACATCGAATCCAATATTTGAAAAAAGTGGAAATGTCGAATTCCTTGGATCAACAGTTCGGCGACCTTAGCCTGCAGGAAGAACATGAGCAAATGTTTGAACAAGAGGACCACCAGGATCAAAGGTTTGTCAAAAATTATTTCACAGTTGGCAGACACATTTCGACTGATTAATTCATACGCAATTGAGTTCGGTGACCCTTATTTAAATTTGTTCCTTTGTGTTAGAATAGGTATTAAGTATATTATACGCTAAAATCGTTTATATATTATTTTGTATTATTAAGTTTAGCGTTTTATATTTTCTTGTATAGATTATTATAACAAATTTTCCAAAAGAAAAAAAATTTTATAAGGTAAGGATAAGGAAAGTGAATTTAATCAAGTATACCAAGCTCATTTACAATAGGAATAAAAATAAAAACTTGTCACATTTGTTACTATTTTACCTACTTATTAAAAGCACTAAATAAATTATTTTGTGTTAAAAGTGAATAGACACACATTTTTTTTCTTTCACTCATTCTTTTTATGTAGATAAATCTAACTATAATGTTATAAGTTGTAATGTTTGTAAAATTTTACTAAAGGTACTTACTTATACTTGACACGTAATTTAAATCTATAATATTTTATTTTGGTCCCTTCGAGTTACATATAAGCATAGCTTAATTATAAATACTCTTCTATTTTTCTTATTTATGCACCGAGTTTATACCGAGAGATAGGTATATGATCTTTTAAAATTAAATCTAATGAATCATTAATTTTTCCTTTCATCATAATTTACCAAAATTGTTATGATTAATGAAATTAGATTTATATGTAATATGTTGTAAATGGAGAAATTTGGAACGTTTTATGACTTAACACTGTGTTTAACAAAATAACTTTTTATTTGTATCTTACATTCATGAAAATAGCTGTGCACGCATCACTAGCGTCAGTAATTAAGGGTCAATGCACTTACGCTCAGTTACCTACGGCCGATTCAAATTGACTCCGGTAGTGATAAGATAGTCAAAAGTACGAAACGATTTTAAAATACTTCTCTATGTACACATTAAAATTAAATTCCATAGTTGACTCTAGGGTTTAATGACCAACTTATAACCGATTAACTCAAATTTTAACACATTTATGTACAACATTACCAGCGCGATATTACCTACATTATGTTCTCTTACTAGAATCACTTAATTTTATTTCTAAGAATGGGACGCTTTTGTTTTTAAGTTGGTAATTTAAATAGTTTTTATCACTATATATAAAAATCAATTACTGTCCGTTAGGCCGACCGCATACATACGAAATTCCGTTACGATATTCCGATTCGGAATTCCGAACGCAGCAAGTCCATATAAAATCTATGACCCGCCACACACGTATGGTAATTCTCCTTAAGCGCTCATTACATTATCCAATTTTTAGAAAATCTAATTAGGAATCTAAGTTGGAAGCTAGTGATCACATTACACTAAATTGAATTCTAAATCGTGACGAAGCACATTCGTAAAAGAAGTATCGACGGGGTTGCACGTTTGATCGATGGCGCCGTATTTAACAAAACAGCAGAAAATAGGACTTGCCTTAGCCGTGGTGGGAACAATGGATATTAAAAAAAGAAAAAAGAGAATATGCTGGGTTAAGGAATACTTGTCATTGTATTTGTAAATATTTAACAACACCTTGAAGCCCTTTTCACGCATTGCTTTTTTTAAATAGTTTTCATCATTTTTATTATACAAATAGGGCATTTACCCTATACAGGTCTATAATTTGTAATAACACCTCTTTTTCTGTGGACATGCTGCCACACGAACCACTGCTCAGTACTGTCGCTTCACTCGCCATCGCAAAACAATGTCGCACGCGCAGTCAAGACATCCACTTAGGTCGAAGCGCGGGCGCCGACTGGTTGTTCTAAATCGTAACATTGCGATTACACTGTCCTAAATTGTAGACAATTTAGAAAGTAGAGCGGTCGGAACCTCCAACTTTAACTAAATCGGATCCTAACTGTTCTAACTGTGATTACACTTTCCAATTTCCTAATTAGATTTCCTAAAAATTGAATAATGTAATAAGCATTTTACGGAATTTTCTCCGATTCAAGATTCCGTATGACCATCTGTTCGTTCGGAATCCCGAACGGAAAATAACCGCTCCGAACGCAAGTCTTCTGTATGAGTCGCAACACACGTTCGTAAATTCTTTACGGAACGCGCTCAGTGTTCGTCGCACGACCGAAGCGAGAGTAACGTCTGTCAACTGAGCCTTTTTAGGTCGGCCACATACATCGGAATTCCGTTTCGGAATCCCTAATCGGGATTCCGTGAATACAACACACATACGTTTTTTTCCCGTTCGGAATAACTAGGGTCAGTCGAGAGACATTAGCCATTAAGTCTAGACGTTCTGCCAGCGAAAAATGACGACGATTTTTCTAATTGAGATTCCATATTTGCTGTACTATTCTTACTGGGTGCATTTCCTTATCACCCTAAGCTTGCAATATAGTCAATATTATGTAAAAAGATCTATCTATACATAGATATTTTTTAAATACGGATGTCTGTAAATTCTTTTGACGAATTATTAAATAAAATAAGATGAATGGTTACGAAAAGCTATACATATATAAGATTAAATGTAAAACATACATTAACCCAGATACTGCGACGGGGCTTTTAAAAGACCCGAAAAAATTATTAAAAATACCCTCAAGTTTCGAGTTGTTAAAATGAATTCTCTAAGATATTTGCACTGTCAGGTTACTTAGTACCTATCCGTGTATGATTTCATGCGGTGTTGTTTACAACTGGACACTTGTTTATTTAAAGTTTTTGTGTCATTGAAGACTTAGGAGTATTAGTGTCATGATGTCTGGACAAAGGTAAGCTTTTATCATTATATATCTGGATGTTGTTGCTAATACATTTTGATATTTAATTTTAGATATATTATCTACAATATCAGGTTATCTATTTGTTTTGGTGCAACAAAAACTCATTCCTTTTTCACGTTTCAAATTGATGGCCTTTTAAAAGTCCCGTCGCAATATGGGGGTCTATAATATTATTGTTTTCTTTTTAGCACGCGATCTTTGAGAGCACTAACTCTCAACGATATAGTTGATGAATTAAAGCGATGTGAGGATGATGATTTGTTGCCAACTCAAATTACAATTTTTCCACCTGAGAACGCTAATGCCGACGTCACAGATGAGGATTCTGGAGATGAAGAATTTGTTGCATTGCAAAATCTACCAGGTAAAATATTTGTTTTCGGGTTGATATAACTACGTATCAATGATTCTATCTTGTTTTATTTATATGGTTGCAATATTTATATCTGTTTTTTATAGGCTCTCAACTACGAGCTCCAGCCGAGGTCACTTTTCATATGAGTTCCGACGAAGAAGATGATGTACCTTTGTCAAGTTTGTCAAAAAGAAGACGCACGATGGATTTGACTTTAGAAGATAGTGACGCCGTACCTTCTTGTACTTCAGATGTGTCAACTAATTCTACATTTGTTCAGCCTACAGTTCCCCGAAACCAAACCTATAGATGGAAGAATCGTCATATTCCAAACCATTTCAATCAATGGAATGACGAACAAGGTCCAAAAAACTTACAATCACCCTTATATTATTTCGACTGCTTGTTCAACAACAATGTTATTGAATTACTAGTGCGATATACCAATTTGTATGCAGGACAGAGGAATAAAGTGGGCAAAGTAACTGTTTCTGAAATGAAGTGTTTCTTGGGCATCCTTATGTACAGCGGGTATGTAGTAGTACCCCGTAGGTTTATGTATTGGGAGACATCGACAGATGCCGACTTTAGGATTGTGCACAACGCTATGTCAAGAGATCGTTTTACTTTTATTATGTCAAATCTCCACTGCTGTGATAATACAGTTCTTGGTGATTCTCCTGACAAATTCGCTAAGTTCAGACCTCTGTTTGACGAGTTAAATAAAATCTTTACTGAAATGGCTCCGCTAGAAGAGAACTACAGCATAGATGAGGCTATGGTTCTATACTATGGACGTCACAGTTGCAAACAGTTTATACGTGGCAAACCAATTCGTTGGGGGTATAAACTGTGGGTTGGTGCTACAAGATTAGGCTACGTGATTTGGTTTGATCCTTACCAGGGAAAATCTTCAACCATTGCAGAAGGTTACAAACAGTTTGGTCTAGGTGGGAGTGTGATTTTGGAGTTTGCTGATGTTCTACAAGGTCGTGATCCAACATTGCCATTTCATTTATTCTTCGACAATTATTTTTCCTCTATTCCTCTACTGCATGAACTTAGTAATAGAGGTCTAAGAGCCACTGGAACTATTCGTGAAAACAGAACGTCCAAGTGTCCTCTCGAGTCTAACAAAGATTTCAAAAATACTGATAGAGGTTCATTTGTATTCAAATCCAGTTTGCCTACCAATATTTTGGTTTGCAAGTGGAATGACAATAGTGTCGTTACTGTTGCATCGAATACTGAAACTGTGGAGCCCCTGCAAAAAGTCAAGAGATTTTCGCAAGAACTAAAAAGATTTGTACATATTGACCAACCGTCGGTTATAAGAAAATACAATGAAAATATGGGAGGGGTCGTTAGATCCGATCAAAACATAGGGTTGTATCGGACTTCTATTCGTGGCAAGAAATGGTATTTTTCACTGTTTTGTCTTAGATATGGCTGTGCATAATGCATGGCAGTTTTACAAGCGAGACGGTGGAGAACATGATCATCTCACTTTTCGTAGACTACTGGCGAAAGGTTTGCTCGAAAGCTACAAAAAAAGCGATAAGAGGGGACCATGTCCCACAGGTAGATCTCATCTTGAATCATCTCGATATGATGGGGTTGATCACTTGGTCCAGTACAGCGCTCCCCAACTAAGATGCAAAGTTTGCAAAGTTAAAAGTTTTTTTATTTGCCAAAAGTGTAAGATTCATTTACATCCTAAGAACTGTTTCCTTGAATATCACACTAAAACTCAGTAAAGTTAGTGAACTTTACTGACTTTTAATGTGATATACTTAGTGAAGTGCTGTTGTTTTATTGTGAGACATCATATCACATAACTTGCTATACCTATGTCTATTTTC